TTTTTTTTTTTTCCTATAAATATATGAGAGTATCGGTTCGAGTTTTTTTGTTTTTATTATTTTTTTTGTTTTGTTTTGTTTTGGCGAGATCGGTCCAGCAATCGATGATGGTGATCCGTGTGGAGTGTTCCGTGAACACGAGCGCGCGGGGCGACGATCGGCCGCCGCGATGAGAAATCGTGCAGGTGGGTGCAGATCGATGACGTGAATGGTCCCCCAGCGTCGAGAGGTGGTTGGTTGGTAGAAGTAAAGTGTGAGTGTGTTCATGTCGAAGAAGAGGCGGATAGAGATGAGGAGGGATGGCGGAGAAAACAAGAATACAATTAGAATGTACATACTGTCCCGCTTATTGGGTTTTTTTGCTTGTCTACGGTATGCTCTTGTTATCGTTCAAATCGTTACTCATCGAATCAAATTGTAATGCAATCCGCGCGGTCGTAATGACCAAGACCCGTGAAATTGCGAAGAATAAGGTATAACGGATAAAAAATAGCTGGCGAATAGAGAGATGGAACGCAACGCACTCGTTATATTATTTTCGATTTTGCAGTTAGATTATCTAACTTGGTATCTTACATCCGATTTGTAATTAGTCATAAAGTGTTTCATGATTAAGATTGAGTGTGTATGCTTATGCTTTTAACAAACACGCGCATGCTTTCATACGATTGCAATTCTTCTTTAATCATGCATCGTTGCGATATTATTTTTTTTGCTCATAATTTTTTCCTTTATTTATTTATGACGCGTCATCGAAAAATTTATATTATATGTTTTTCAAATTAGTGAATATATCTTCGGTAATAATACATTTAATAAAAATACGTTCATATATCGATGACATATTTGCATGATCCTCATATACGTAGCGAGAGCACACCGTTGTAATCTACACACTAACGATGCTAGACTACTCTATTCTAATTTACGAAATATCGATGTGTTCTGAAGAAAACGATTTCCTTTTCACTAAAGAGAGAAGATATAAACGTCAGAAAAATAGAAAACTGTCTAATGTCGCGCAAGACGGTGTCATACATCGATCAAACGTTCTAATATCGCGCACCGGGAGACGTTACTCTTTCATCGCGAACGATCGATCTTTATGAAAAATCATGACTACGTATAACACGTAGAGACTATAAACGCAAACTTAATTAGAAATGGCCAGTGTGACAATGTGTTACCTGTCGCGGATAATTGGCTGGTGCTGTTGCTTTTCTTGCCCAGACCTGCCTGGTACTGCACTGCGCTTCCGCTACTGCTGCCGCTTCCGCTTTTACTACCTGGCGAGCTCTTACGGCCTCTCCTCGCTGTGTCTTCAACATTCAATGCAATCGTCGTATCGCTGAAACTACCCGTGTCTGCGAAACAAGGACACGTATTTGTACAGGTATAGAATTGAGCTAGCGTAGCCCGAGCGCGTCAAGTGTAAAAACTGTGGTAGCTCACGTTTCTGTGTGATCTCATACGCTGTCTTTCGCGACGCATTTTGAAAATGAGAAAAGGAAAAGATGAAGCCAGCTTGCGTGAAAAATGGAGTTTTACATTTCAATTCAATTGCAGATTTTCTAATTATATGATATTAAAGAACTGTCAAATATATATATATATATATATATATATATATATATATATATATATAATATATAAAGAGCAATGCGTGTCCAATTTTTGTTGTACTATTAAACGACAGGGAGAAATGTTCGTGACTGCAAACTCAAAGGAAACTTTCAAAACATGGATGTATGTCCGCAGCTTATTAATTACTGTTGATTTCAAACAAGTTCGTGACTGTAAATTCGTAACGAAAATTTACGTTATACTTCTGCAGAGTTCGGTCTTCACTGTTTCGATATATATCACGATGTCATGATAGTAAAATTGATGCCTCTTATAAAAAAATACACTAGCAAAAAATTCAAGTTAGACGTCAAACCAAATTTTTGTCGAGAAACAAGATGTGTTATTAATTTTTATAATATGTAGTGTAAAAATCAAATTTAATTGTCGAAAAACTTAATTTTAGTTCAATTTAAGTTTAATTTTAAATAATATAGATACTTATTTAAAAATGATGAATAATTACATTGATTACATGATTACATTTCTCTGTAATAATAAAAATGATCGACGTAGAATACAGAATCTTGTTATTGAATAATAGATATTGTTTAAGATAACATTAGCTGTCTTGTCAATCCTTGTAAAGAATAGCGTTAGTTCCGGTCAATGTAAACTTTCTCTCTCACCTTTCTCATCCTGCGGTACGTCGGCATTACTGAGACTCCTGGTGAACTGGCTTCTCTTGTCGTGCTCGTCGTGCCCGTTGTCGGTAACCTGGCGTCTGGACGTCTTCTCGTACGAGCTCGACTGGCTGGTGTACTCGCTGCTTTCGGGCATGGACGAGGAACGACGATTCCGAGCGTCGTCGTCGTCGCGACGATCGGCGACGGCAGCGACGACGTCGACGTCGTAAGCGGATTTTTTTCGGGATCGCCGTCGGGAGGACGAAGGCGGCAGCGGCGGTAGGAACGACGACGCCACACCGGCGACATTGGCAAGCGGCGACGTTTTCGTGTTTTGTGGGTGTTGGTGGTGATGATCGTCGATCCGTGGGTGATAGTTTTTAGCAGTGTCGGAAGTAGCGGTTTGGGAATCAAAGAGACTCGAATTAGCGTTACCAGGGCGGGGTGCTCGGTTACGGGGCCTACGCGGATCGCACGGGCCAAATCCGCAGTTCTCGCTGCACTGGCTCTCGCTCTCCATCGAGTACTCGTAGTACTCGAGGGTGTCGCTGATCGCCACGTTCCTCTTACTACTTCCCTGCGGTTGTTGATGCTGCATCTGCTGCTGATGCTGCTGCTGCTGCTGATAATGATACTGCCGCTGCTGCTGCTGCTGCTGTTGCTGCGGCTGCTGCTGCTGTTGCTGCTGCTGCTGCTGCGGCTGCGGCTGCGGCTGCTGCTGCTGTTGCTGATACTGCTGACTCGGATGCCGCTGCTGTTGCTGATGGAGCTGCACGAGTTGCTGCTGACGCTGCTTCTTCTCGAGCATTTCGAGATCCCTAGCCTCCGGACAGCTGCTGTTCCGCCTACGATATCTATGCTTCGTCTCTAACGATGAACGCCGAAGTTCGTCACCCTTCCGCGATAGCGATCCCGACCTACCTAACTCCGAGGAGAATAGCGCTAGCTCACGACACTCCGGGCAACTACTCTTACGCCTAGAGCGCGACCCGTGTCGCACCTCGCGACTCGAAGAACGTTGCGACCCTGACCTAACTAGCCCGCGTGCCACCGGATAGCTGCGATCCTGATATCGAATATCCTCGTGATCGCATCTTGCATCTAAGTATCTATCACGATCTTGTTCCGCGTCAAAGAAGCCCGATCTAACGCCGTCATTCGTTCTAGTGTCCGCCACGTAGCTCGAAGTACGATGGAAATAATCGGCACCGATTACCGTCTCCGACGAGCCGAACTCCTCGTCGGAGTTCAGCACGATATTCGTTCTGTCCTCGTCCCCTTGCGAGCCGTACATTCGCAGATCTCTGCTCTCTGGACAGCTGCTGTTTCGTCTGCGGCGATACATACGTCTGGTGCGGTCCGCAATCGAGCTCAGATCCTCGTCCGAGTGTAGGGTCGGGGTGGATTCCGTTCGTTGGATCGTCATCAGTCTCCTGTTCTCCGTTAATCTCGTCTGAGTGTCTTTAGCCCGCAGATTCTCGTAGTCACCTGTGCCTCCCTCTCGACTGCCTCTTCTGCTTCTTCGTCTTCGTCTTCGCGGCACAGAGCCATCCTCGTATGTTTCCTTCTTTCCGGTGTGCGTACTTCGATACTCGTACTCGTCGGACGGACGATAACTGATGTAATCGTTCGTTGTGAATTTTCCGTCGTCGTCGGACTGTGCGTAACGTTTTCCTTGAGTGGCACGAGAATGTTCCGTCTCGTCGTGAAAATACTCGTCCTCGTACATCGATCTGCCGACTCTTAAGGCACGAATGCCTTCGTCTAGATAGCCAAACTGCTTCTGCTTGTAATCCTCGACTTTCTCCCGATCTACGAATTCCTTGTCGTAATCGGCGTCCCAATTTTCGCGATCCTTGTATTCATCCTCTCGATAGGAACAATCAATTGCCGTTCTTCCGTGAGATCGCAAGACACTTTTCACGTCCTTTGACATCCACTCCATGTTAGCGGCATCCTGCATCTTCGTGGTGGACCTCGCGAGAATGTCTCGATCGTAATTTTTACCGGACGACAGAGCCTCGTCAATGCTGCAATAGATATGATCACCCATCGAATTACGGAGATCATTATCCACATTCCTGGTTCTCGTCTCTGAAGATATATCTCTGATGTACGAGGAATCATTGTTCAAGTAACTTCCGTCGATGTATTTTCTCTTACTAGTGTCCTCCTTGTCCAAAATATTCCTGAGATTAGTACGATCGTTGCCACTGAAAAGATCACTATTGTCCGTTAAACGGGAACCGTATGAGACTTGATAATCGTCGGCCTCGGCGTTCAGCTTGTCGAAGTTCGGAACGTAAATCTCCGTCTCACCGCAGCTGAGTTCCGAGTCGTATCCATAAAACGGCTTGTGGTCCTGATCGAGTAGAAAATTGTAATTCGTCTCTTTGCTCGCGAGACTCGTAGGCACTTTGTCGTCACCGTTAGAATCGTAGTAGGACTTGCTCTGATCGCCCAGCGCCGGTATCTTGTCACCGTACCCGGCGTCGCTGAGAGAGAGATTCCGCTTGAGCTTTCTCCTGGCCGTCCTGAGACTGTCGTCGCTGAATATGTTGCTCGAAATGCTCTCGTACTCGAAACTCTTGGCCCGGCGCGATAGCAGACCGACGGCCCCTGGCCTAGTACCGAAACGATCACCGTATGTA